GCATACGGGAGGCGCTCGCACTGATACCCGGATTCGGCAAAAGAAATTCACTTTCTTTGGGGCTCATATATGAACATTGCATTCAGTTGTCTCAGTCCGGTTCTACCCACTTCACATTTGTTACATGTTCAAATGACATTCTACGCACACACATACACTGACTCCCAAACCTGAAAGCATGTTTTTCAAAGCTGAAGCAACACATCTGTTACTGTGAGGACAATCAAGGTCGGCTGTCATGGCGCCAAAGCGGTTCAGCTGATTGTCAAGAATACAGTTAATGAAGACACACCAATGTTCATCGTAAGAGGAATTAGCTCAAATGGTAGAGCGCTCGCTTAGCATGCGAGAGGTACCGGGATCGATACCCGGATTCTCCAGTTCTTTTTGCACTTCATAGTTTTGTGAAATAGTTTTGTTATTTGTCTCTTTATGAAAGTCATGAACAGGGGGACTAGCACACCTGACAGAACGCCCCTTTTGCATACGAGAGGCGCTCGCACTGATACCCGGATTCGGCAAAAGAAATTCACTTTCTTTGGGTCTCAAGTATGAACATTGCATTCAGTTGTCTCAGTCCGGTTCTACCCACTTCACATTTGTTACATGTTCAAATGACATTCTACGCACACACATACACTGACTCCCAATCCTGAAAGCATGTTTTCTCAAAGCTGAAGCAACACATCTGTTACTGTGAGGACAATCAAGGTCGGCTGTCATGGCGCCAAAGCAGTTCAGCTGATTGTCAAGAATACAGGCAGTTTATAGTTTTGTGAAATAGTCTTGTTATTTGTCTCTTTATGAATGTCATGAACAGGGGAACTAGCACACATGACAGAACGCCCCTTTTGCATACGGGAGGCGCTCGCACTGATACCCGGATTCGGCAAAAGAAATTCACTTTCTTTGGGGCTCATATATGAACATTGCATTCAGTTGTCTCAGTCCGGTTCTACCCACTTCACATTTCTTACATGTTCAAATGACATTCTACGCACACACATACACTGACTCCCAAACCTGAAAGCATGTTTTTTCAAAGCTGAAGCAACACATCTGTTACTGTGAGGACAATCAAGGTCGGCTGTCATGGCGCCAAAGCGGTTCAGCTGATTGTCAAGAATACAGTTAATGAAGACACACCAATGTTCATCGTAAGGGGAATTAGCTCAAATGGTAGAGCGCTCGCTTAGCATGCGAGAGGTACCGGGATCGATACCCGGATTCTCCAGTTCTTTTTGCACTTTATAGTTTTGTGAAATAGTCTTGTTATTTGTTTCTTTATGAATGTCATGAACAGGGGGACTAGCACACATGACAGAACGCCCCTTTTGCATACGAGAGGCGCTCGCACTGATACCCGGATTTGGCAAAAGAAATTCACTTTCTTTGGGTCTCAAGTATGAGCATTGCATTCAGTTGTCTCAGTCCGGTTCTACCCTCTTCACATTTGTTACATGTTCAAATGACATTCTACGCACACACATACACTGACTCCCAAACCTGAAAGCATGTTTTTTCAAAACTGAAGCAACACATCTGTTACTGTGAGGACAATCAAGGTCGGCTGTCATGGCGCCAAAGCGGTTCAGCTGATTGTCAAGAATACAGTTAATGAAGACACACCAAAGTTCATCGTAAGGGGAATGAGCTCAAATGGTAGAGCGCTCGCTTAGCATGCGAGAGGTACCGGCATCGATACCCGCATTCTCCAGTTCTTTTTTGCGATTTATAGTTTTGTGAAATAGTCTTCTTATTTGTCTCTTTATGAAAGTCGTGAACAGGGGGACTAGCACACCTGACAGAACGCCCCTTTGCATACGGGAGGCGCTCGCACTGATACCCGGATTGGGCAAAAGAAATTCACTTTCTTTGGGGCTCAAATATGAACATTGCATTCAGTTGTCTCAGTCCGGTTCTACCCACTTCACATTTGTTACATGTTCAAATGACATTCTACGCACACACATACACTGACTCCCAATCCTGAAAGCATGTTTTCTCAAAGCTGAAGCAACACATCTGTTACTGTGAGGACAATCAAGGTCGGCTGTCATGGCGCCAAAGCGGTTCAGCTGATTGTCAAGAATACAGTTAATGAAAACACACCAATGTTCATCGTAAGGGGAATTAGCTCAAATGGTAGAGCGCTCGCTTAGCATGCGAGAGGTACCGGCATCGATACCCGGATTCTCCAGTTCTTTTTGCACTTTATAGTTTTGTGAAATAGTCTTGTTATTTGTCTCTTTATGAAATGTCATGAACAGGGGAACTAGCACACCTGACAGAACGCCCCTTTTGCATACGGGAGGCGCTCGCACTGATACCCGGATTCGGCAAAAGAAATTCACTTTCTTTGGGGCTCATATATGAACATTGCATTCAGTTGTCTCAGTCCGGTTCTACCCCTCTTCACATTTGTTACATGTTCAAATGACATTCTACGCACACACATACACTGACTCCCAAACCTGAAAGCATGTTTTTTCAAAGCTGAAGCAACACATCTGTTACTGTGAGGACAATCAAGGTCGGCTGTCATGGCGCCAAAGCGGTTCAGCTGATTGTCAAGAATACAGTTAATGAAAACACACCAATGTTCATCGTAAGAGGAATTAGCTCAAATGGTAGAGCGCTCGCTTAGCATGCGAGAGGTACCGGGATCGATACCCGGATTCTCCAGTTCTTTTTGCACTTTATAGTTTTGTGAAAAAGTCTTGTTATTTGTTTCTTTATGAATGTCATGAACAGGGGGACTAGCACACATGACAGAACGCCCCTTTTGCATACGAGAGGCGCTCGCACTGATACCCGGATTCGGCAAAAGAAATTCACTTTCTTTGGGTCTCAAGTATGAACATTGCATTCAGTTGTCTCAGTCCGGTTCTACCCACTTCACATTTGTTACATGTTCAAATGACATTCTACGCACACACATACACTGACTCCCAAACCTGAAAGCATGTTTTTTCAAAGCTGAAGCAACACATCTGTTACTGTGAGGACAATCAAGGTCGGCTGTCATGGCGCCAAAGCGGTTCAGCTGATTGTCAAGAATACAGTTAATGAAGACACACCAATGTTCATCGTAAGGGGAATTAGCTCAAATGGTAGAGCGCTCGCTTAGCATGCGAGAGGTACCGGCATCGATACCCGGATTCTCCAGTGCTTTTTGCACTTTATAGTTTTGTGAAATAGTCTTGTTATTTGTTTCTTTATGAAAGTCGTGAACAGGGGGACTAGCACACCTGACAGAACGCCCCTTTTGCATACGAGAGGCGCTCGCACTGATACCCGGATTCGGCAAAAGAAATTCACTTTCTTTGGGGCTCAAATATGAACATTGCATTCAGTTGTCTCAGTCCGGTTCTACCCTCTTCACATTTGTTACATGTTCAAATGACATTCTACGCACACACATACACTGACTCCCAATCCTGAAAGCATGTTTTCTCAAAGCTGAAGCAACACATCTGTTACTGTGAGGACAATCAAGGTCGGCTGTCATGGCGCCAAAGCAGTTCAGCTGATTGTCAAGAATACAGGCAGTTTATAGTTTTGTGAAATAGTCTTGTTATTTGTCTCTTTATGAATGTCATGAACAGGGGGGACTAGCAAACATGACAGAACGCCCCTTTTGCATATGGGAGGCGCTCGCATTGATTCCCGGATACGGCAAAAGAAATTCACTTTGTTTGTGGCTCAAATATGAACATTGCATTCAGTTGTCTCAGTCCGGTTCTAGCAAACATGACGGTTCAGCTGATACAGTGAAAGAAGGCACACCAATGTTCATCGTAAGGGGAATTAGCTATGACGATACGTACTAGTATTTAGATATCAAACTGACTGCATCGCTTGCTTAGCATGGGAGAATTACCAGCGTCGATGCCTGTGTTCTGCTGTTCTTTTTGTATTTAGTCTTGTTATTTGTCTCTTTATGAATGTCATGAACAGTGTATTAGCACACACACGAGTGAAGGAAGCTACACTTATTGCATGGTAAGTTTTAAAAAATGTGTTTCCTTATGTTCGGCTTGGTCCCTTTAACCATAAACTTAACCTCCCCGGTGACAAAGAAAACCCCAACCCCATCCCCCCCTCACTCCCCACGTACAAAGATTAACATTAGCCACTACGAAATATTTCAGAAACTGTTCTGTTTCAGATGCTGGGTCATGATTGTTTTATTTTATTTTGAAGTTTTCTTGTGCATTTGTTTGATTCAGTCCTGCTTTCGAATGTGCTTTGATAACCAGACATACATGGGTTTTTTCATGTTTGTCTGCTATATTTTCAACATGAATGGGGGGCGGTGGGATAGCCTAGTGGTTAAAGCGTTGGCTCGTCACGCCGAAGACCCGGGTTGGAATCCCCACATGTGTACAATGTGTGAAGGCTATTTCTGGTGTCCCCCACCGTGATGTTGCTGGAATATTGCTAAAAGCGGCGTAAAACCAAACTCAGGCAGTCAGTCAGTCAACGGTTACGATGGCATCTTCTGATTTTTGCACAATGAATACAACATGCTTTGTAATAAATTAAACATACTGAAGGTCAGGCACTTTGAATATGTACCACCCATAATAAGTGGTCACCGGTAGAGGGGTTTTCTAAGTTGGATAACTTGTGCCCAATCATTTTCTTGAATGAATAAAATATGCTTAAAACAAACAAGTGGTCACCCCTTTAGCGAGACTAGTCTGTATTTGGTATTTAGTTTGTACAGAACACGAAGAACAATATCTACACCCTCATGTAGACTAACTACAAACCACACGGATAGCCCCAGTAACATATTGTACTAACAACGACAGGGGCGGTGGGGTAGCCTAATGGTTAAAGCGTTGGCTCGTCACGACGAAGACCCGGGTTCGAATCCCCACATGGGTACAATGTGTGAAGCCCATTTCTCGTGTCCCCCGCCGTGATATTGCTGAAATATTACTAAAAGCGGCGTAAAACCAAACTCAGTCAGTCAGTCAGAATAACAAAGACACAATGCTTGCCTTTATTCAGACAATCACACAGGTTGACTATACAGGGTGGATCACACTGTTCTTGTTTATGTTGTATGTGAACGGTCTGCGAAAAAACAGTTGAACCAGGTAAGTTATGTTTTCAGTCACAAAAGCATACGTGAACTTTTTTCAAACAGTCATATGTTTCTGATAATAGATTAGGTTTTGGTAAGGAAAATAAATTTGGTCAAATGAACCTTGTCAGAAGTTATCAGATTACACAATCCTTACTTCATTGAAGCACATATCGTGTAAAACTCTAAACCCTTCAAGGCTGCTCTCACTATCACATTTGTGCATGTGCCGATGACTGCCAAGAATCGATATGTGTAACGTTGCAAGCTAGTTTGTGTTTCAGTTTATCCTATCTTGATTATTAGACTAAATGTTAAACCATTTAACGCTGTGGTTACAGTTGATGCTGAACCTACAGCCACAGACCATTGTGCAAAATGATAGAGAACTAGCATATCAACCATTACACTTTTTCAGACGGAGCCATCAAAAGAATATGTTGATTTCAATATGAGAATGAATGGTTTATCTATTACACTATGACGAACTATGAAACAATGACAATTAGCTGAGAAAGCCTCTATAGATTGATAAGTATGTTATCATTGTTCATTATATATCTAGACCCATTCTAATGAGATTGTCTATCGTTTCTCATACAGATGTAAGATCTGGATGTCACTTACTCGACCTTATCTTCATCTTTATCAGGAATTTTGCCATCTCCGACTCTATTCTTCTCTTTAACTGGCTTTCCACACAACGCCTTGCCCACGTACGTCAGCAACCTCTTGGACCTGACAGGATCCTGCAGGACTTGGTTAAGTTCCCTCACGTCCCGCTTGGTATTCACCAGCTCATTCAGACCCTCCAAGACCCGACCCTCCTTGTCGTACATCTCCAGCCAGTCCTCCATCTCTTGCGCTCTTCTTGTCATCATCATGTCAGACTGGTCCTCTTCCATGTCTTCCAAGTCTTCCTCAGCACCCGTTCCCTCGACAGGTGCTCTCTTGCCACGAGACTCAACATAATGATACTCTGTCTCCCAAGTCGTATCTCTTTTGCCGTTCACTATGGGACAAATGGTTTCCTGTATTGGTCTAAGAATGGGTTTGATAACTATTTTGACTCCTTTGCCTATGGTCTTCACAACTGGCTTCACAACTTTCCTCCATATGTGTGTTACAGGATGGAATATCCTCCTGAGGCGTACCCTGATCCTGGGAACTCTCACCCTAAACCATCTTCTCCTTCCCCAGGATTCTGCACTCGGGATGACGATAACAACCAGCAGAAGCAGAAACACAAGAGCTGTCTTCATCTAGAGTATAAACCAAACATTTATATTACATGAAAGAACGCCTTGCCAATGCAAATGGTAGATACAGTTTTCGCCACCGTCAGCAATATTCCAGGAGTATCACATGTCCTTCACGCGCATTAGTAAGTAAGCAAAGAAGTCAGGGAGGAAGTAAGTAAGTAAGTAAGTGATTAAGGCAGGGAGGAAAGAAGGAAGCAAGGAAGTGATGAAGGCAGGGAAGAAGGAAGGAAGGAAGTGATGAAGGCAGGGAGGAAGGAAGGAAGCAAGTAGAGTAAGTGATGAAGACAGGGAGGAAGGAAGGAAGGAAGGGATGAAGTCAGGGAGGAAGGAAGGAAGAAAGTAAGTGATGAAGGCAGGGAGGAAGGAAGGAAGTGATGGAGCAGGGAGGAGGTAAGGAAGCAAGTAAGTAAGTGATCAAGGCAGGGAGGAAGGAAGGAAGTGATGAAGTCAGGGAGAAAGGAAGGAAGGAAGTAAGTGATGAAGGCAGGAAGGAAGGAAGGAAGCAAGTAAGTAAGTGATCAAGGCAGGGAGGAAGGAAGGAAGCAAGTAAGTAAGTGATTAAGACAGGGAGGAAAGAAGGAAGCAAGGAAGTGATGAAGGCAAGGAGGAAGGAAGTGATGAAGGCAGGGAGGAAGGAAGGAAGCAAGTAGAGTAAGTGATGAAGACAGGGAGGAAGGAAGGAAGGGATGAAGGCAGGGAGGAAAGAAGGAAGCAAGTAAGTAAGTGATTAAGGCAGGGAGGAAGAAAGGAAGCAAGTAAGTGATTAAGGCAGGGAGGAAAGAAGGAAGCAAAGTCAGGAAGTGATGAAGGCAGGGAGGAAGGAAGGAAGGAAGTGATGAAGGCAGGGAGGAAGGAAGGAAGGTGCAGGAGGCGGATGATTAGACGGGGAGGAAGGCAAGGAAGGAGGGAAGGAGGAAGTCAGGAGGAGGAAGGAAGGAAACAGAGTAAGGATGAAGGCAGGGAGGAAGGAAGGACAGAGAAGTGAGAAGTGATGGAGCAGGAGGTAAGGAAGAAGAAAGCAAGTGATCGGGGAGGAAGGAGGAAAGGCAAGGCAGGGAGGAAGGAAGGAAGTAAGTGGTGGTGGCGCTGGAGGAAGGGAGGAAGAGGAAGTCAGGGAGACTAGAGAGGAAGGAGAAGGAAGTGATGAGAGGCAGAGAGGAAGGAAGGAAGTAAAATAAGATGAGCAACTGATGAAGGCAGGGGGAGAAAGTGATGAAGCAGGGAGCAAGTAAGTGGTGATGAGGGGAGGAGGAGAGTGAGGAAGGAAGGAAGGAAGTAAGTCAATAAGAGTGATGAAGGCAGGGAGAAGGAGGAAGGGAAGCGTAAATAGGATGAAAGGCGGAGGGAAAGTGATGATGGCATGGAGGAAGGGAAGGAAGGGGAAGTGATGAAGGCAGGGAGGAAGGGAAGGAAGGAACTAAGGGCAGTGATGAAGGCAGAGCAAGGATGAAGCAGGGAGGAAAGGCAAAGTAACGGTGATGAGGGAGAGCAGATGGTAGGGATGGAAGTAAAGTGATGAAGTAACAGGGAAGAAGGCAGGCTATTAAGGAATTGGGAAGCATAAGTAAGTAAGTGATGAAGGCAAGGAGGGAGGGAAGGAAGGAAGTGATGAAGCAAGGGAGGGGAAGGAAGTGATAGAATAAAAGTAAGGATGGAACAAAGTCATGAAGGAAGGGAATCGGCTGGGTTAGCCGGGGTGGGGAGTGAAAGGCAAGGAAATAAAGTATGGGAGGGAAGGCGATGAAGGCCGGATAGAAGCAAGGTAAGCAAGTGATGAAGGCAGGAAGGAAGGGGAAGTAAAGTAGTAAGTGATGAAGGCAGGGAGGAAGGCAGTAAGGAAAAGGGACCAAGGGAGGAAGTAAAGTTATGAGGGTAGGGTGATGAAGCAAAGGATAGAGGAAGGAAACAAGTAAATGGTGAGTGCAAAGTGGGGAAGGAAGCAAAGTAAGAGTGGATGAAGTAAAGAGGAGGAAGGAAGTCAAGTAAGTAAGTATGAGTAAAGGAGGCATTGAAGGAACAAAGTAAAGTGATGAAGTCAGGGAGGAAGGAAGGAAGTGCGGTCAAGTGATGGGGAGTCATTGAGGAAGGTAGTGGGAAGTAAAGTAAGTAGTGATGGAAGTCAGGGACAGAGTGATGAAGGCAAGTCATGTAAGTGCAAGTTAGGCAAGGGAAGGAAGGAAGGGAAAGCAAAGAAGTAAGAAGTAGTGGAAGTCAGGAGGAAGGAAGGAAGCATGTAAGTAAGTGGCAAGTGATGAAGTCATGGAGGAAGGGAAGAGGGAAGGAAGCAAGTAATTAGAGTGATGAAGGTAGGAAGGGAGGAAAGAAGGAAGGTGGATGTGAGCCTTGAGGGAGGAAGGAAGGAAGGAAGGAAGTAAGTGATGAAGTCATGGAGGAAGGAATGGAGGAAGGAAGGAAGTAAGTAAGTGATGAAGGCAGGAAGGAAGGAAGTGATTAGAAGTCATGGAGGAAGGGAGGGAAGGGAAGCAAGTAAGAAGGAAGTGATGAAGGTCATGGAGGAGGAAGGGAAGCAAGTAAATAGGAGGTGAAAGCATCGTATGATGAAGTCATGGATGAAGGGAGGAAGAAGGAAGGAACAAGTAAGTAGAAGTGATGAAGTCATGGAGGGAGGAAGGAAGGAAGCGGAAGCAAGTAAGAGAGGAAGTGATGAGGTCAGGGAGGAAGGAGAGGATTGCACTAAGTAAGAGTGATGAGGCAGGGAGGATGATGAGGAAGGAAGGAAGTAACTTAAGTGATGAAGGCAGGGAGGGAAAGCAAGCAAGCAAGATGAAGTAAGTGATGAAGTCATGGAGGAAGGAAGGAAGCAAGTAAGTAAGTGATGAAGGCAGGAAGGAAGGAAGTGATGAAGTCATGGAGGAAGGAAGGAAGCAAGTAAGTAAGTGATGAAGTCATGGAGGAAGGAAGGAAGCAAGTAAGTAAGTGATGAAGTCATGGGGGAGGGAAGGAAGCAACTAAGTACGTTATGAGGGCAGGGAAGAAGGAAGGAAGCAAGTAAGCAAGTGATGAAGGCAGGGAGGAAGGAAGCAAGTAAGTAAGAGATGAAGTCATGGAGGAAGGCAGCAACTAAGTAAGTTATGAGGACAGGGAGGAAAGAAGGAAGCAAGGAAGTTATGAGGGTAGGGAGGAAGGAAGCAAGTAAGTAAGAGATGAAGTCATGGAGGAAGGCAGCAACTAAGTAAGTTATGAGATCAGGGAGGAAAGAAGGAAGCAAGTAAGTTATGAGGGTAGGGAGGAAGCAAGTAAGTGATGAAGTCAGGGAGGAAGGAAGTAAGTAAGTAAGGAAGTGATGAAGGCAGGAAGGAAGGAAGTGATGAAGTCATGGAGGAAGGAAGCAAGTAAGTGATGAAGTCATGGAGGAAGGAAGGAAGGAAGGAAGTGAGGAAGGCAGGAAGGAAGGAAGTGATGAAGTCATGGAGGAAGGAAGCAAGTAAGTAAGTGATGAAGTCAGGGAGGAAGGAAGGAAGCAGGTAAGTAAGTGATGAAGTCATGGAGGAAGGAAGGAAGCAAGTTAGTAAGTGATGAAGGCAGGAAGGAAGGAAGCAAGTAAGTAAGTGATGAAGTCAGGGAGGAAGGAAGGAAGCATGTAAGTAAGTGATGAAGTCATGGAGGAAGGAAGGAAGCAAGTAATTAAGTGATGAAGGTAGGAAGGAAGCAAGTAAGTATGTGATGAAGGCAGGGAGGAAGGAAGCAAGTAAGTAAGTGATGAAGTCATGGAGGAAGGAAGGAAGCAAGTAAGTAAGAGATGAAGGAGGAAAGGAGGGAAGTAAGGAAGTGATGAAGGAAGGAAGGAATGAAGTCATGGAGGAAGGAAGGAAGCAAGTAAGGAAGTGATGAAGTCATGGAGGAGGGAAGGAAGCAAGTAAGTAAGTGATGAAGTCATGGAGGAAGGAAGGAAGCAAGTAAGTAAGTGATGAAGTCATGGAGGAAGGAAGGAAGCAAGTAAGTAAGTGATGAAGGCAGGAAGGAAGGAAGTGATGAAGTCATGGAGGAATGAAGCAAGTAAGTAAGAAGTGATGAAGTCATGGAGGAGGGAAGGAAGCAAGTAAGTAAGTGATGAAGTCATGGAGGAGGGAAGGAAGCAAGTAAGTAAGTGATGAAGGCAGGAAGGAAGGAAGTAAGGAAGTGATGAAGGCAGGGAGGAAGGAATGAAGCTACTAAGTAAGTGATGAAGGCAGGGAAGGGGAGGAAGGAAGTAAGTAAGTGATGAAGGCAGGAAGGAAGCAACTAAGTAAGTGATGAGGGCAGGAAGTAAATGAATAAATAGAATGGTTGCATTGTTTATATGATTTTGTAATTATTAGCGTTCGAAATACCTGCCTACCGCCCGCCCTGGACAGGTTATTTTCAACACGGACTGCCAGATTCTCAAATTCACCTACCCGACGGTCGGGTTAAAATTTAGACATGTATATGAAGATATTTTGTGAGCAGGTAGGTTTTGGTCAGGGCTGGCAAGTTTTATATCTAACCAGCCCTGTGGTCTGGCTGAAGTGTTTGGGAGTTTCATACCCTGGTTAAATCGCAGTTGAAGAGAAACGTAGATTGTACGTCAGCATGAAACAAAATATGAATTGCCAAACATTCAGGCCAGAGGTCCTTTAATTTATTAGTTTTAAGAATATGATGCAAGTAAACACTAACTGTGAACTTGTTACTATCTTGGCAATAACCTATTTTGCAGTAGTGTGCATACAGTCCAATAACAAGCAAAACAACTTACCTCTCTTGCCGGATGCAACGTCACATAGACAAGGATTATTTTCGCGCGTATTTATTGAAAAGCAGGTGTTACTTTCACTTATCAGTGTTTGGTACATGTGTGGGGACACCACCTTCCGTAATTCAAGCAACACGATGACAAAAGCTACAGCAGCTGACGGAATATGCTTACAATGCTGTTCTGCACGTATATTGTGTGAAACAAGGTCCAACGTAATAAACCCCAAGTCTACAGAGGCATAGCATGCAGTTCGAGACAGAGGGAAAGGCTGATATGAGACTATAGTCTGCACGGGAATGATAAATATACGGGTTGGTTTAACAAGGTTTCGTATTTTTCGGTTTACTAATTATCCACTTTAATTCAGGGGAAAGGGGAAGGGGGGTGCGAGTCAGGTGGTCAGGTAGCGTACTTGCCGTAATCCTCTGTACAGAATATCGTCCTTGTGGTATGACAGACGCGTGTGCCCTTAAGGCGAACAAATTTAAATTTCTGCATGTAGGATATGGTTTCCCACACCATGACACTTCCACCACCATATCGGTCAACCTGGGCATCACAATTCATACAATTCATATATATACAATGTACACACGTCGCCAGTTTTGTAGATTCCAGAATCGGACGTTATTGCACCACTGGACCCGACGATGTAGTCGTCGCCGCACAGGGCCAAAAAGAGTCTTCTGGCTCGAAGTCCAGCTCCTCGTAAACGACTACGAATGGTTTGCGTCGACACTCCCCTCAATCCAGGCATCGCAGTTGCAGTTGCTGTAACAGTTCGATTCCGCGATTCGATCGTGCGTGTAAGCCGAGGTCTACAACTTCGAGGCCGATCTTGCGTAGAATTGGTTTGTTGGTATCGGTTCCATGAATGCCTGATGGTACTCTGGTGAACATTGAGGTGACGTGCAAAAGCAGATTGAGACTCCCCAGCCTCCAAACGTTCAATGGCAAATTTCATTGAATTAAAAAGCAAAACGGTTTTATATACGCAATGTCCCTGCTCACGATTCTTCAGAACTGCATGTGCATATTGCGAACCATTTTTATCTGCATGACATTTTTATGCAAGTTGACAATTAAACGTGCATTAAAGTTTCCGAAGATGAAGCTGATGAAGATCCGGGTTAGAATTGATCTTCAGCAACCCATGCTTGTCGTAAGAGGCGACTAACGGGATCGGGTGGTCAGACTCGCTGACTTGGTTGACACATGTCATCGGTTCCCAATTGCGTAGATCGATGCTCAAGCGTTTGATCACTGGATTGTCTGGTCCAGATTCGATTATTTACAGACCGCCGCCATATAGCTGGAATATTGCTGAGAGGGGCGTAAAACTAAACTCACCCACTCACTCACTGTTATCATAATCGTAAAATCTTCAATCTGATTGAATTTGCGACAGTAGATCCCCAATATTTTCATATATTGTCCTTGTTAGGACTGCACGATATATTACCGTTGAACCGGTCGTACGTTGGGGGTTTTGATTTGAACTGTATTTGTTTTTCAGGGTGGGGTGGGGTTTTTGTTTCTTATTGTATTGTTTTGGTTTTTTTCTTTAGATGTATTTACTTTGTGTTTTGCTTTTTGTTTTTATTAAACGACACCTATTTTAAACATGTTTGTACGTACCATTATGTTAGATGGAAAAACTCTTGCTACTTTCTATGCAGTGTAAGCAGTTAAAACAAACACAGTGAACACCGGCAAATGTCGAAGGTAAATACAAGTCATTTATTTCATAATTTCCTGAAAATTAAAGAATTAGCTTAAAAAATATAAACTTAAAATTACAAATGAGTTGTTTTGTGACTCACTTATACAGACAATATATCCTTGCACAATAAGACAAAAGCTGCATCTTGAAGCTGTTTCCTACACATCACGCGAGGCACTGAAATGTATGAGTGGCATTGCAATTTCTCAGAATTATCATTGGCATTTATTGTCTAGATTTGCACGAAAGGTTTATATTTGCACAAAACAACAAGCATTTGTTAACATCCATCTCAAGGGTCACAGGTACTGAGACATTTTAAGAGAAGAATAGTGAGTGAGTTGAGTTTTACGCCAGTTTTAGCAATATTCCAGCAATATCACGGCGGGGGACACCAGAAATGGGCTTCACACATTGTACCCATGTGGGGAATCGAACCCGAGTGTTCGGAGTGACGAACGAACGCTTTTAACTACTAGGCTACCCCACAACCCCTTTTCAGAGAGGAAGACCGAGTCAAGCCAATCACTGAGTGAGTATACCACTGGATCACGCTCCTGTTTCTGTTCCAAGGGAAGATTGGCGGCGGGGTAGCCTAATGGTTAAAGCGTTCGCTCGTCGCGCTGAAAGCCCGGGTTCGATTTCAAATTGCGGGAATACTTCTTGCAACATAAAACCTATATTTGGCTGCATACTTGTGCATCAAACGGATCTTAAAGAAATGGATTATTATAGCCTGAGCCTTATGATATTTCAAGAATTTAGGATCCTTAATGAAATCTTGCATTTACAATATAACAGTCTCCGACGAATGTATATTAGGATTAAATTTGATCGGATCAAATAGATAGGTCTAACTGGAACAATAAAATCACAATAAAACCCACTTTATCATTTTAAGCAAAATACATCTCATCCGACAAACAGACAACATGGCACTGGTAAGTAGGGCTGTGTATTGACAAATAAACTGCATTGCAATATATTGCGATTCAAGTACCCGTATTGTGATGCGTATTGCGATATATTGGGAATTTAATTAACAGTAGGTGACACTAACTGTACATGACCGATCCTAGTTTCTACAGTATAGGGGCGGTGGGGAAGCTTTGTGGTTAAACCGTTCGCTCGTCACGCCAAAGACCCGGGTTCGATTCCCCACATGTGTACAATGTGTGAAGCCCATTACTGGTGTCCACCGCCGTGATATTGCTGGAATATTGCTAAAAGCGGCGTAAAACCAAACTCACTCACTACGGTATAAGTCCCTAAGAATATATACTCATGCCAATAATGGTTGTCACCCCCTTCAATTTTTTAATTGGAGAGGGGTGAGGGGGTGGGGGGGGGAGGTGACAACCATTATTGGCATGAGTATGTGTCATGGTTCTGATAACAGCAATCTCAATTTTAGGTTGCATAGTCAGGGGTTCTATTTTCTTTTTTATACAATTTATAGTATTACAGTATGTAGTTTTGGTATTGAATAACGAAGGAAAACATATGTTGTGAATGAAAGTATGTGTAGATTTTAATTTAAACCATACAGATAATCACAAAAAGTCCATATATGTTCTTTACCCAGTATACCAGTTATCAGACAAAATATTACAATACATGTACGTATCGTTTGAAAAGCGTATCGCGGTATACCGGTATACCAGTAATACCGTACAGTCCTCGTGGTAAGTATAATGTATATTCCAACTAAAAACCAATATCAATATATTGATAACCCCAAATCAATATACTTTCTTCGAATCGATTTTATCTGGGTTTTCTTGTTGGTGGCGGTAAACGAAAACATCTATTACAGATGGAATCTTTCAAAATGCTGAAACATTTCTCATCATCGAATATTTCCTGAAATCGTCACATTGAAAAATATTTCTTATTTGTATTGGTCAAAGGCAAAAGTAAGGATGTTCTTATATAATGTTCGTAAATATCACTGATAATAATTACGTCGGTATGGATAAAACATATAAATATATTTTGTGTAATCTGATTTGATCAATCGACTGTTCACACACAAAAATAGGAGCAAGAAGGATTACGGTCGCTTCCTGTGGTTTTGAGCTCAAAGTGTTCTCCATTCACAAACCGCTATAATCTCCTTTGATTACAGAAACTAACTACTAACTAGTATATGTCACTTGAATCATAGGTTTCTTACAGCACCAGCTTTCGGTGGGATGTTTTGATTATTTCTGTTGTATCTGTTGATACTTATACTTGAGTTAAACCAGAGACCATACAATAGATCTATTATATGGTCTCTGGTTAAACCCAGTGTACGTAATGCACCAGCTGACCTCTGTAATCGCCATTGTTTCACATATGCGCTTATACATACTGTCACTCCAGCTGTGCACCAGTGACCCCTTTAGGCAAATCCACAGCAAATCTCACTGGGCGGTGGTTAACTGCATGCTGCACGGTCAGCTCTGGCCAGTCTTAGAGATAAGGGTCAGTTAGGCAATATACATACTTACTTCTAAGTGATTCTTCGATAATGGTACAGTCGTCCTTGGTTACACCAAGAGACCGCTGACATATAGAATACATTGGATTTGGTATTCATGATCTTTAGTGGTGTAAATATTTGAAGGCTTGGGTTGTATATATACAGCTGTAGGTGGTGGTGGCATCCTTCTGCCTGAAGTTATCGACAACAATTCCACAGCATTTCTCCTTCCGCTAAGTAAGAAACCATTTTACTTTACATGTTATCTAATGGTTAAAGCGTACGCTCCTCACGCCGAAGATCCGGGTTCGATTCCCCACAAGGGTACAATGTGTGAAGCCCATTTCTGGTGTCCCCCGCCGTGATATTGCTGGAATATTACTAAAAGCGGCGTAGAACTAAACTCACTCACTCCATATCGCGAGAAGAGTTCGCATGTCTTGCCTTACTGGTAGCGCCCGTCATTCACAAATTTTGCCTAAAATGGAATTATCTTGTGCCTGACACCAGTCTTCCTCCCAGAGTGGGGTGTAATCAACCAATATATCGAAATGCTGGAAAATCCAGTTAGATAATTTTGAATTACGACCACGTAAAGATTCCGATACAGCTAAGTACAGGAAAGCAATATGGGAAATAGATTTTTTTCACAGCACACTGGGCATCTGTTTTAATGACTCGGACCAAACATTCACTTATATGAAGTATGTTTTTGACTAAGTGCTTGTTTTGCAGGTCAGACACAACTACGAAAATAGCCAAATGTTTTATGTTCGGGCTAATATATTCCGGGCTTGTTCTGCGTCCATTGCTTATAAAGATACTAGACTTCATTCTCAAGTGTTATATTTTATTACACTGACGGAACAGTAACGACGATGCACAGGAACACTGCACCTGGAACAATGCCGCCTCACTGGTCATCTGAAATATAACAATATAACCTTATTACCAATATATTTTCATAGTGTATAAAGGGCGGTGGGGTAGCCTAGTGGTTAAGGCGTTCGCTCGTCACGCCGAAGACCCGGGTTCGATTCCCCACATGGGTACAATGTGTGAAGCCCATTTCTGGTGTCCCCCGCCGTGATATTGCTGGAATATTGCTAAAAGCGGCGTAAAACCAAACTCACTCACTCACTCACTCAGAGTGTATAAAGTTTATAAACGTTGTATAAACCTTAACGTTATTTCTATCTTTCTCCTTGGGTACCTCTAAACAGAAATAGACCTTAGATGAATTGAATTCACGTCTTGCAATGTAATATAACTTGGCATAAGCTTAAATTGTTTCAAAGTTCGTCCGTCCATATGTGTACTGAACCCGGGCCGAAAGAATGAGAATATCTATGATACATAAACTTTATTATTTTCGGACTTAAGGGTACGGTTGTCTTCCCGAGACAAGTGTGTCCACAAGAATATTTTTGCTATTCTCTAATATAGGTTAGTGGACTTTCTTTTCTCGGGAAGATGGGTTCGAACCCAAGATTCACGATCTGCATGATTCCTGTTTTCGCGCTCATTGGTGCCACCACTACTTCGGAAATATCCCCCCACATTAAACAGAGCAGCCTTATACTAACCGAAATACTATTCAAAGCAGCGATAAACCAAACACGTAAACTCATTATTTTGGAAATAATTTCCTCTGTCCTAAAAAAACTATTATTATGAATGTTTTCATTCATCTTTGGGGGAGTAAAATCCAGGTTCCAACAGGTACTGATGGAAAATACTGTATCATAAAGCTCTCCTTACCCAACTCTGCATCCATTTCGCGGAGGCTTCTCTCGAAATCCTCTACTGAAATGGTGTCATCAGCTGCAATGTAAAATAATGCCGTGTGTACTGGTCAAGCACTGATGTAGCTGTAGAGCAAACACCTGGTGTTATGTCTTTATCAGAGTGATTCTAAAACACATTGTTATGATACAGTCAGAATCGACAAACGGGCCCAGAAATTTCTTATCGTTATGGAAATGGAATGGAAAGGAATGTCCCTCTGTATAGACGATATTAGCAGTTGTGAACATACGCTTCGAAGTTTGTAGCACAGTGTGTATAATTCATTGTGTGTGTTTGTGCATATGTGCGTGTGTGTGTGAGTGCGTGTGTGAGTATGTGCGTGCGTGCGTGTACGTGTGCGTGCCGGTGCACCGCCGAAAATGAAGAATGTATAGACAATCAATAAATTTAGCTTCGGTATTTTCATTGGCGAATAGTCAGACAAATGAGACCATTTGATGCAGAAACTTAACAGTTTGATTTCCGAACACGCAACACAGGTGAGATCTGTTATGAAGGGGGGACATGGTGTGTGAGGGAATGTATATTGCAGACACTAGCAGGCACAAAGATTGCAGGCATTGGCTATACGCGATAGGCCAAGGGAAACCCCGAGACAGTAGAACACGACCTTCATTATATCAGTTGTACGGGGGCCTGAGGTTTTAAAACTGAAATGATTGATTGAAATCGAAATGATGGAGGTTTAGTCACGTCGTCGGAATTATTGTCATTTATTGCACGTCGTGACTGAAATAGCAGCATTAACAGATACACAATGCAGGCGCGATTACAAGTTGCTGCTCTACATGCATGCTGATGTTCACTTTACTTGACTTCCTTTGGAGGCTTCGTCAGATGTGCTTTTTAATGAAGGTTTGAACTCAAGTCACCAGTATGGAAGGCACTGTGGAAGTACGGCCAAAGAGAGGTTAACGCTGAATACTAGAACTGGTTCCGGAAAACGTTCACAATATCCTTTTCAACATGGTTCAGAAATTAAGCAGATAACTCACCGTCCGTGGCATCCAGCAGATGTCTCACATCTCGTTCCCCAAGAACCTGCTGTAGTTCCTGTTCGTCCAACTCTCCATCTCCGTTCAGGTCAAGGGCCTCGGTGTTGCGCTTGCCTGATCCTTTGTAATCTACACACATAATGTTGGTTGGTTGGTTTGCTGTTTAATGCCGCACTTAGCAATATTCCAGCTGTATGGCGACGGTCTGTAAGTAATCGAGTCTGGACCAGAAACTCCAGTTGTCAACGTATCAACAGCATGAGTATCGATCTACGCAATTGGGATACGATGACATGTGTCAACCAAGTCAGCGAGCCTCACCACCCGATGCCGTCAGTCGCCTCTTACGACAAGCATGAAGACCAATTCTAACCCGGATCTTCACGGGTATACACACACGATGACACTGAATATCTCACACTGACTATTTACACAGTATCTAACTACTGAGCTAGCAGAATGGCACATTAGTTAAATGTAAGTGACAACTTAAATACTCTGACAGTCACATTGGCTCTTAAACCCTTTGTGGTTTTACATGAAACTCCTTTATAATGGTCTTTATTAAGTTTTGACGTATGATCTGTTTCACCCATTCATACATTCATGCAGCCCAGTTTAAACCTCCAGAAACAAGAATAGACTTACGTCTTCTGATCCACCAATTTCTAACCCGATCCTTGACTCTCTCTCTAAACCAACGCTTAATTCTCCAGGCGCTTTCTGCCTCCGGTAGAACCACCAGCAACGCCACGAGCATCAACAAGACGACCTTCATCTGGGAAAAAAAGATTTCTAATAATCAAAAACACACACACACACACACACACACACACACACACACGCACACACACGCACACACGCACACGCACGCACGCACGCACGCACGCACGCACGCACGCACGCACGCACGCACGCATGCAGGCCATACATATACATACATACACACATACATATATACATACACATATACACATACATACATACATACATACATACACATACATACATACATACATACATACATACATACATACATATACATACATACATACATACATACATACATACATACATACACATACATACATACATACATACATATACATACATACATACATACATACATACATACATACATACATACATACATACATACATACATACATACATACATACATACATACATACATACATACATACATACATACATACATACATACATACATACATACATACATACATACATACATACATACATACATACATACATACACAAACATACATACATACATACACATACATACATACATACATACATACATACATACATACATACATACATACATACATACATACATACATACATACATACATACATACACACATACATACATACATACATACATACGCACGCACGCACGCACGCACGCACGCACGCACACATACATACATACATACATGCATGCAGCACTTTGTGTGGCAAATGTTCAGTAAAGACAACTATTAGAAATATACAATGGGCACCGTTAAATGTAACTTTTTATAAATGCAATAGTAAGGTCTCATAATGTTAGCTAGTTTCACTTTATATACCAACTGCGCTTTCCTTTAACATCCAGCGATTTTATAAATGCAACAGTAAAATCTCATAATGTTCAATGTCTATTATCCATCATTTCGAAATCCAACTGAGCCTGAATAATCCACAGAGAGTAATTACACCAATTTGATCATTCTTTATCTTTAAAACCTATACATCGTCGTTGGTTATAACTGACATGTTGATGCACGATGAATGATTTAAACAAGTTAAGCATAACGGATGTTCGTGGTAGCAGAAATACAACTCACCTTTCTCCGTGTCTCTGCAAATGATCCTGCACCTACTGACAGGCTGATATTTATCATAGAGACGCATCATCATCCAACACCTCACATAGTCAGGTGCCGGGTCTACATCCGCCTCAGTACCTTCACAGGTAGTGTCGGAACATAATGTACAAACCAATGAATTGCACGTACAATGTTTCAGGTTGTAAATGTCAATGCTTGTTGCCGGATAAATTTTGAAAAACCATATCGTACCACGGTTTTAGACTAGTGGCAATTACGTCCACACATGTATAGTTAACAATACACATTGACACCTCGCTTATCCGAATTTTGCAATCCGAGTGAAATCGTCCCATATTCAAACTTATGGATGTGAGAGTAGTGTCCTTTGCATATATAATGCGAGAAGTAATAGTCCTTCAGAGGTGTTTTAGTACAGTTATAACTGTTTGGAATCCCGTACAGACAGCATAACATACGCCATAGCATATTTTCTTCCACGGTAAAACACTGACGCTTTCATGGTAGACATGCCCAGACATTCCCAGTTGTCTTATACAGGATATTCTGCTGTTTGGGGTCTTAATAAAGTGAAAACAGACAGACAGACAGACAGACAGACAGACTATCAGGTTTATTTCATAGATGTGGCCATGAGGCCAATAGTACAAAATGACAACTTAGATTAAATTTTTACAGAGCGCATGGACATGATTTTGTTTACAAAAATTGCTAGACGGAGTATTATATCATGGTTCTTAGTATTTAGAAGATGTACAAATTTTTGTTTATTTGGGTTCATCATATAGATACTTGGTATGTAGTGAGTTCTTACCGCTGCATATAAAGGACATTTCATTAACACATGATACTCATCTTCTGGTACATTTTTACAATATTCGCACATAGCTACACTAATGTCATTGTCTTTAGATCTTCTGTACGAAACTATTTTTAAATTGGTGGAGCCGCATCTGAATTTTGTTAAGACTCTGCGCAGATGTAACGAAGAGAGTGCGATCAAATACAATTCCGGAACAATATCAGATTTAAAGGCAGAATACATATGTAATGATTTTGAGTTTCTTATATCTTGTGTCCATTCTTGATAGTACATGTCTTTACAACGTTGTTTGAAAAGATTTAAAAACAATTCCCAGTTTCCGACATTTTGATATATCCATACATAAGCAAATCCATGTTGAAATAATATTGATCGTACTGCCGAAGCCCAGTTAATATCTCCATTGTCGTCTAAACGTTTCAACATATCATACGAGCGACGTGGGTAACGTGTGTCTGGTTGCCGAAGCAGACGTATCCAGAACGAAACAACTCGTGTCATATAATTTACATGTAAAGGGTATCTCCCACATTCTGCTAAAACTGCCTTGTTCGATGTGCGATAGCCAACGTTTAGAACGTTTTTACAAAATTTTGAATGTACTTTTTCTATTCCATGGCGGATAACTGTTCCCCAAACTTCTGCTCCATATAATAATATAGGTTGTATTTTACAGTTAAAGGTTTTGAAAAATATATCGAACGGAATTGTTTTATATCTGTACATGAATTTCTTAAAAGGAAATAATGCTTTCTCTGCTTGCTTACACAAAACACCACAAGCTTTTGTGAATACATTTCTACAAGATAACGTTAATCCCAGATACTTATAATAGGAGACAGTTTCTAGTTTCTCTGTTCCAATTGACCATTTTTCTCTTTCTGCTATTCTACCACCTTTTTTAAAAACTATGACCTTTGTCTTATTTGTATTTATTGACAATCCCCATTTCGTAAAATACTGTTCTAAGATATCTATCTTTTTCTGTAGGTTCACAATGCTGTCTCCAAATATAGCGACATCATCCGCAAAGAGAAGAATTGACAGTGCATTTATAGTCTCATCAATAAAAGCGCCACTATAGTCGCTGTTTATAATGTCGTTAACTAGTTCATCGAGTATACATTGAACGTAAAACAGTGCTAATTTTACCATGTAGACCATTGTTGAGAAGTATATATAGGAGCTTGTGTCTGTCAGCGGTATCAAAAGCTTTTTTAAAATCAACAAAAATACAGTAAAATTTTCCACGTTTTTTCCTTATGTACTTGTGGATAATCGAATTTAGAACAAATATTTGGTCAATAGTACTGTAGTGTTCTCTAAACCCTGCTTGCGACTGGGAAATGATATCCTGTGTTGAAGCCCAAAGTTTTATGCGTGTATCTAGTATACTTGTGAATACTTTGCTAATTATATTAAGTAGAGCAATACCCCTGTAGTTATTGGGATCCTCTCTATCCCCAGCTTTATATAACGGAACGATAAGACCAAGGTTCCAAGAGTCTGGAAAATTACCAGTGTTGAAAATCTCGTTGAAAAGACGTTTATAAAAAGGTAATAATATCAAACAAGTTTCCTTAATGGCCTCCGTCGGAATACCATCAGCCCAGGGAGATTTACCATTTTTCAGATTCTTAACTGCATTCAAGATTTCATCATTTGAGATCTCGTCACCCAAGATATCGTCACAGTCTCTACATTGTTCACAATTAACAACGTCATGGTTTTCAAGAAATGTTTGTACATGTATAATATCAAACTGTGTGCAATCTGTTTGAGGGTCAAAGAGGTTACTAAAGTGTTTGTACCAGTTATCTGGAGTGATGTTTGTTTGTATGCTGGCAGTGTTACAGTACTTCTTGATTGACTTCCAGAACTCTTTGCATGATTTACCTTTTGCTGCGTTTACAATTTCCTCCGCTATATTGTTTTCAAAAGTAGTTTTTTCTGTTTACATAGGGCTTTAAATTCTTTTTTAGCATCGAGGTATTGCTTGCAATGTGCTGGGTTGTTTGTAACTCTAAATGTATCAAGGAGTGCATATTTATGTCGTTGCGATCTCTCACAGTCTTCATCAAACCATCTGAGCTGGTTGTTACTTCTGTTTGGTGTTGATTGTAAATGCTGTGTAGTAACATTTTTGTCTGCATGTGTAAAACAATATCTAAACAAAGTCTGGATGGATTCTAGAGCAGAGTCTACACTAACATGTATACTATCATCAAATTGTTGGGAGAAATAGGTAAGGGATTGCTTCAATATATCGGAGAACTTACCCCTATGTTCTGTTCGCCACGTGTACCTGTGTATCTGATGGGCATGTGCATGTGACTGGTACCATAGGTGGTAAAGGATAAACTCCCTATTTCGCGAAAACCTTCATAAACGCAGCCATATGATATACACATGCAAAAAGTATCGCAACGCCTATGATTTTTAATCATTATATCATTATATAACAATTTATATTCATATCTGAATTATGCTTGTTTTTATGATTATGTTTACCCTTCAGTACCCTTTGCACCATACACTAAATTTAGATATGCACCTGCTACGATAAATGGCGTACAATACGTGCATTACGAGTAGTATAAAGTAAATATACATTTACAGTGAACTGTTTTTACGGCTCGATAACTTGGAAAATGACTCCGTTGTTGATGAGTAACTGATCAAAGATGGCAAGTTTTTGGAAAACAGAATGGTGGCATTTCATTGAGTACTATTGCAAGAGATGTTGTTTGTCATCCATCGACTGATCGGCCAGAAAATATGAGCAAACTAATGATATGTATGACCGTCAGCGTTCAGGTCCACCACGAGTGACTACTCCTTGAAAGGATACAGCCTGTATCATAAAACCTCGCCCGTTCATGTCAAATGGCGTGTTAAAAACAGCTTGTTTGTCCAACAGAAACGGTCTGAAATCGTCTAGAGTCTGCCAGGTACAGAGCCTATCAGACGTCCGTAATTATCCCCAGAGCACAAAGCAGCACGACCAGCTTGGTGTCAAGCACGACATCACTGGAATTTGAGGTTATATGGAAGCGTCCACTGGTCGAACGAAAGTCATTTATTCATACCTGGTGGCTGAGCTCTAGGTTTGCTCCACAGAAACGCTGCATATGCACAACGGTATATCTTGGGGCGAGTACCGTTAGGCGGAGTTAATTGACGGTTTTGGGGTGCCTCTCACATGACTTTAAACTTGACTTTGTGACGATCAGACAAAATGTGAAAGGACAGCATTACATCATTATTGTACCACATCTCGATGACCATCCTCTGAACACATGGTCAGTCTTCATCTACGACAATGCTAGGCCGGTGCCATTAGTGATTTCTTTCGTCAAGAGGCCTTATCAGGTAAATGATTCCAGATCTTTGGAGCGTTATGCGTTTGGGGCATATGGATCATACCCCTCTACAGATTATCAAAACAAAGTACACGGTCCACCCTACTGCTAATCCGAACTTTTTAACAAAATAAAAGTTCTAACAAAAATGCAGAACTATGCATTCAATGACCACAAAGTGTCAATCCGTCTTTATCGAAGCTTGAGGAAATGGCCAACATCGTCTAAGAACTGGATTGGGGATTTCAGGTCACGATTGAGTTCGTCCTTCAGGCGACAGAGACGATTCTCCACCTCCCTGCATACTCTATTTCTGCTTGTCGGGGCTGCTCCAAAGTCTATCTTTGCAATCCTCGCTGTCTCTGCCTATTCGACCTTCGTGATCACCTCCACCACGAATCCCATCGGAGACCTGGTTTCAGCCGGTTGTGGAATCCATCTAGGTTGTAGTGCGATGGTTGCACAGGGGCTGGGGGAATCGGGCTTCGGCGTCAACCCAAGTGGTGATGATGTAGTCGTTGAATGCGTCAGCTCTGGGCACTTGTTGTCCATGGCGTCAACCCATGTGTCCTTGATTTTGCTCGGAGGGAGTAAGTTTAAAGCAGCTGCTGGTCTGATCCACTTGCATACTTCAGGATCTTCTGTGTATGCGACAGCAAGTCCTAGATCTTCCTCCAAATCGCCTGACAGATATTGAAGAAACATCTCTTTACATCGATAGTAGGAAACACCACGAATAGCAGCAAGCTCAAAGTCTGTCTTTACACATGATGGGTCAAGTGATCGGTTCAGTCTCTGTTGAGCTTCAGCCTTGAGCAGCCTGAAGAGTCTGGAGTAGATGTTCGTCTGACGGTCCGGGAGTTAGGCGAAGACTACTATGTGTGTTTATTCATGTTATATCTTAAACCCTTCTGATATGTAAGTGTATATAATGGGCCGGTGGCCCCCTTACTGAAGATACACACATAGTAAGGCGAAGATGAAGGGATAGGTCGTGGTTCCGCGTCTTGCATGGATGATATACACTTGATTCCACAGTCCAGGACAGGCAGTGACTGGTCCATCCATAATCTCTGTTGGCTCTTGAGGATTGTATGCCGGAATTATAAAAACAGGACCGCTCTTGTTAACGACTTATGACAATAGTTATCCGCACTACAAAATGAGTTAGTTTTAGCCATGTTTGCTTCTCTGGATAAACAACTGTAACAGTTTCAGATTTTCCATTGACTTATTCCTTGAGGGCCCATTTATTCAGATAATAAGTATAACTGAGGTTTGGATAACCTCACATGCTATGGTTAATGGTAACATTTTGATACTATGAAAAATATGGGTGGTGCGATACTATTTTTCATGTGTATATAATCAGATTCGTACAGTGGA